CACAACTCTGCAGGAATGCTTCAATTCCGATGGTATCTCCTCAGGGTGATTGTAGTCATAAAATGTATAATCACTTCCATATTGCTCAAAACGTTTGTCATACTCAAGAAGTTGCACAGAAACACCAGGATCCATGTTCTGAAGATTGAAGAAAGGAAAAAGAGAATTTTACTAATACAGCAATAGGAAATAGAAAGACATCAAAATGATTAAAAAATTAAAAATATCGGCAATAAGTTAATTTCATTTCTCCATCAAAATAACAGAATGCTTATTATAGGCGGAATTCTTCATCAAAATAACAGAAGGCTTAATATTCTACATCAACGATCAAACCCAAAAACCTTCAACCTTCGGAGAAACGCATTAATTTTGCACATTTGAGTTCTTCTGACTATTTCCAATAACCAACACCAATCACTCTCACTTGAACCAAAAGGCACACATACAGAGAGAGAAGCGATAGAACATAACAACACGAAAACGAGAACGAACCTTGAGATAAGCGTAGAGCGTAGGGCAGGCGATGCAGGCGACGCGAGAGTTGGCGGCGGCGCAGAGAGTGAGAACCTCTTGGGCGACGGTTGTGGCAGTTTCGGCGCTGTACCAGAACTGGCTCAGCCTCCAATCCTCGGACACCAGCGAGACCTCGGAATCTCCGGCGGCGGAGTCGCGTTGCTGCTCGGCGAGGAACTCGTTGAGCGCGGCGAGGGTGTGGGAGCTCAGAACCGGTTCGCCGTCGTCGTCGTGGTGGAGCGGCGGCGAGGAACCGGTGAGTCCGGTAACCGAGTTAGGGTTCGGTTGGAGTTGCTCCTCCATTGGAGTAATCTGGTGTGGGGAGGAGTAGAGTAGAAACTCGAACACGTGGTAGGTGTAAGCGGTGTTGCTTAGAACCCGGGTTGCTACAACTGGATATATGTTGGGTTCGGATCTGAACTACGAGCGATCTTACTGACCAAGCCCAGCCCCATAGGAACTACGCACATTCAGGTTTTAAGGATGGGTAGAAAATATTTTTAAATATTTTGTTTTATTAATTTCAATTAATAATCATAAAAATATTTTACATATTAATTTAAATTTATATATCAAAGTATCATATTATTTTTTATTTTTTTTAAAATTTATAAGTTTGATTTATATATATTAAAAATAGTTTATTGAAATTTCATGTAGAAAATGAATTATTAAGTGAAATAAAGTGAAATATATTTTAATTTAATTTTAATACTATTTTCATTTTAGAAGTTAATTATATATAATTTTAATATTAATATATTATTTTAAAATATTTAATTGGTCTGACCCATCTTTTTCGAATCATAATCAAATCAAGTTTGGGTCAAGTAAATAATCAAATAAATAAATATATTGAGATGGTGTCTATACTCTATCAAAAAAAATTTCGTAAGTTAATGTAAATTACTAGCTATTGTATAATTTATATTTTATGTATTTGTATTTTCAAAATTGTTAATGTTTAATTGCAAATGAATGTTAGCAACACTATGTCAACCATCACTTTATAACACTATTATTATCAAAATTATTAAAAATTATAAATTTAATACATTGTGCATCTCATTTAATGGATTTTTATTCTAATTTATTAGTAAAATTCATTAAAATCTGTGAATTTCAATAATCTTCGGGAATATTAGAGAAAACTTATTACATATAGTTTCTCTAACATTATTAATTGTTTAGTTTTGAGTGTGTAGGGTTTAAGATTTAGAGTTTATTTGAGAAATTCCTTTAAAAATGTGTATAGATACAGATTAAAAAAAATTATATGTTGAAAGGAATATCCGATTTAAAAGATTAAGTATACATGTAGAAATAAAAGACGGGTAGACTGAAATGAATGAGAGTTTTGGTTAAATCGGAATGACAGTGTACGAAATAAATTTTCAAAGAATACAAAATGAGAGAGAATATTGAGAATATCTAATGCAGAACTTGAGAGTTCACCCTAGGTACTCAAAATCCTGGAAATTAAAACAACCGTCTTACTTTTCTTTTTAAGACTAGTATTTTTATCCGAGAACATGAGACTTGAGTTCATCCTATGGACTCAAATCATTAAATTCTTGGATCAAGATCGCTTTTGGTAGCCACACTTCGAAAAAATTTCTGTAGTTCATTTTAACAATCTTATAATGAAAATCGTTATCAAAAATCTTTCAACCCATTAGCAATGATTTAAAACCTTCATCCCACTTCTATAATTTCGTCCTCACCAACGTTGATTGTCTCGTAATATTATTATACATGATCGTCAATCTTGGTCTTTGTAACCCAGATTTTTTATAACATACAAGAGCATCTAACATTTCTTTCTATATCAATAAACTGCCATTCTATTAAAAAACAACAAATTACACATTTTTATTTAATGAATTACTTACACAAAACCTTGGAAACTTATATTTTATCATGAACTTAATAAAATAAACTTAAATTTCGGTTGATAGGTAACAGGATTTAGTGTAAACCCCAACAAAAGCATGGTAGACTTCAATGTTATGATTAAACTAACACAATTACAGAAAAAAGACAGAATAAGCAGTTGAATCATCACAGCAATTTATGAAGCAGGATAGTGCTAAACTCGGGGTCTTGGAATATAAATTTACGTCCAAGCAACAAAATCGTTCATGTAAATCCTTAAGCAAACTAAAAATTAACTAAAGCCATTGAAAGTATTACACAATATTCGAAATTTAAATAAATGAAGTACAAAGATAGAAACAAAATCTTTCCGGTCACCAATACTGCTTCTACAGACAGCTTAACGATTAGCCTTGGCAACTCTTTCAATCTCATCCTTTTTCTTGATGGCATAACTGAAATTAAGTAATATTTTTCAGCAAAACCAAAACACTCAAGACTAAAATTACATAAATAAATTTGTATACACATGAAATATGATTATAAAAGTATACCTGTTGGATGAACCCTTTGCTGCATTAATAAGCTCATCAGCCAAGCATTCAGCAATGGTCTTGATATTCCTGAAAGCAGCTTCACGAGCACCGGTTGTTAGAAGATAGATAGCCTGATTAACACGTCGGAGGGGTGAGATATCCACAGCCTGTCTCCTCACAACTCCAGCAGAACCAATTCTAGTTGCATCTTCACGGGGACCACTGAATAAATGCAAAAATATATACATACAATCAGGTCAGAGATAGAATATGGAAACATAAAAGTAACTTAATCTTTAAATAGTTACAGAAACAACTCAAAAGACATCACACATAAACGAGAGCATACAACATTTCAAACCTTTTTCCCTAATAATTGTATCAGTTCCCATTATAAAAAAAAAAAATTTATTTCATATTTTGTGAATTATGTCCAGTCTACACAATTTAGTTGTGAAGAATCAAACACTTCAATTCAACGTCTGTTTTGTCTACATGATCATAACATCAAAAAATGAAAAGCAAACATAACATATTTAAGAAACAACCACTTGCAACTGTATGCCGAGAGTGATGAATCATTTGTTTTCAAAGGGATACATGAAAGTAAACCAAATATAACTACTTCAACTTATTAAGGAGAATGATCAGATAGAGCTAATACATAAGTGCCATCATTCAGGCAATCAAACCAATAGGGAAATAATAAATCATCATGTCATTCTCCATCTCTGACTACCATTGATCCAAGTCCTAATTAAGGTAGCTAAGATATCAAACTAACTTGAATTTCCTTTCCCCAAAGAACTTGTAAAGCAATAATCAATGAAAAAGGTAAACATGTAAACACATATTAAAATGCCTGGGCAGACTGCAAAAATGGTTAACAAAGCAAAAAGCTTGATTTCACTTTCAAGTGTTTCGTAAAACAATAAATTAAGGAAAATAACCATCATACATAGTCATCATCCAGTCAAAAAAAAACAAAACAAGAAACATGTATTTATAATTTCATTGGACAACATACATAGTTCTTTAGGTAAAATGAGCAATAATTCTAAATGACATGTTTTATTACATGAAAATAAATCAACCATAATTCTAATTCAACTAATAAAGGAGAATGATCAGATAGAGCTAATACATAAGTGCCATCATCAAGGCAATCAAACCAATAGGGACACAATTAATCATCATGTCATTCTCCAAACCTGAAAATCATTGATCTAAGCCCTAGTCAGGGTAGCTATGACATCAAACTTGGATTTCCTGTCCTTGCTGTACAATTACATCATACCACTTCAGGTATGGAACAAAACAATCCAACAAATATTTACAGGCAATAGCATCACCCTGAACTAAAGGTTTCTCTTTCCAAGAGCAAAACATTTGATGAACTAGACTAAAATACAATTGAGAAAAACAAACAAACACAGATGATAAGGAGAATGGCCAGATAGAGAATACAAAATGCCATCATTGTGACAATCAAACCAATAGGAAACAACAATCATCATTCCATCCTCCAACTAAAGATAAACAGTAGCTGTCAGCATATTTTAAATCAAAATTCATTCAAAACTATGAGACAAAAGACAATTTCCCAACATTGAACTTGAAATTTCAATGTTAGCAATCATGCTTAACTTTCAATAATAGAAATCCACAAGAGGCTTTAATTTTAATTGGGTTTTAAATTGCATACTGCATCAACTCAGAGCAACAAATCATACCTAACAACACTACAAAACAAAAGAGCACAGATTCACCGAAGACAAGGAGAATGGTCAGATAGAGCTAATACAAAATGCCATCATGGCGGCAATCAAACCAATAGGGAAAAAATAATCATCATCCCATCCTCCAAATCAAAACAGACTAGTAGCTGTCAACATAAGTTTGATTTCAAAACTGATTCAAATCTACGAGACCAAAATCAATTTCCCCAATATCAAACTTGAAATTTCAATGTTGGCAAGCATGCTTCACTTCCTATAATAGAAACCAACAAGTGGCATTCATTTTTAATTAAGCTTTAAAAGGCATACGGCATTATCTCACACAGCAACAACAGAATTGCAATCTCAATGTAAAAAACAAAGGCAAAGTCATCTAATAAAATCCTAGTACTAGCTCATACCTATTGATGACGGCATCAACGATGACCTGAATTGGGTTCTGGTCAGTGAGCAAATGAATGATCTCCATGGCATGCTTGATAATCCTGACAGCCATGAGCTTCTTTCCGTTGTTCCTTCCGTGCATCATGAGAGAGTTTGTAAGCCTCTCAACAATGGGGCACTGAGCTTTCCTGAACCGCTTCACTGAGTACCTTCCAGCAGTGTGAGGAACATACGTAGCATGCTTGGACGCCACCACTCCAATATAATCAGCCAGAGAAATATCATTAACCTAATTAATTAAAATTATACAATATATATTAATAATCAACCAGAAAAAGGCCATTAACCTAACAAAAATAACATTACTGCAGAAAACGCAACTATTCAAAATAATAAAAACAATAATTTCAGGTTACAACTAATCTCGAATTTGCTGCATTTTTTTGGCTCAACACGATGCAAAGTGAATAAAAAGGGAAAGTGAAAGAGAAGGACCTGAACATCGTCGAAGCTCCAACGGTTGAAGAGCTTGACGTCGATTTGGGTGGGATCTGGAACGATGGCAGGAGCTTCTTGAACGATGTCAGCCATGGCTACATAAGCAATTGAATACAATTACAGACGCAGAGAGAGAGAGAGAGAGAGAGAGAGAGAGAGAGTAACAGAAGAAAATGGAAGAGAACGAACTTGGTGGTGTTGGTGGGTGCGGCACAGAGGGTGCGAGGTAGAAGCAGCTACTCCAATCGCAGAGACAAAAACCCTAGGTTTTTTCCTTTGACATTTGGGTATTTATAATGTTCAAAACCCTAAGTTAAATCGTTGGGCCCGGCCCATTATGCCTCTGGTCTTATATCTGTTATTAGTCTTTTGTTTCTCCTTGGACTTGGGCCTTCGTGATTTCCATTTCATGATATTCCCGTCTCGTGTGTCTGAAACAAAAAGGAAAATCAATACCATGGTCCATGGTTATGTGTATTTCGTTCCTGATTTAGCAGGGAATGAAAAAAAAATTATCAAAGAATTAAATAAAATGTGTGTTTAAAGGAGATTATTTAAGTGAATTTGTTAAAAAATTGTAATAGGGATTTATGTGAATTTAATTTCACTCTTCTAAGAGTGGATTTGAGTGAAATTTTTCACAAAAAATAAAATAAAATTAAACAACTCTTACACTATTGTTTAAATCGTTAGTTAGTAAGGGGTATAAATATAATTTCTAAATAATATTTTTACATAAAAATTTAACTTTATAAAATACAATTTTAAAATATCAATTTCTCTTTATTTTTCACCTAATTTCACTCTACCAAACAACTATAAATTTCACATTATTTCCTATCTATTTCCTATCAAATCAATTATCATATATTTTCTTTCGATCCTTTCAATTTTTTTCCTCTCCCAAACAAAGCATAAAAAACGAGCATATTAAACTTCCAACTAGATGACAGGTTTATCTGAATGTGAAAATAATCTTATTTAAATATGTAAATATGTGCAAAGGAATAAATCTATAACATATATAAAAATGATACTCTAATTTGGTGTACATATTTTTTAAAAGTTTTTATCTTTAAATTTTTAAATAAAAAATAATATTAAAAAATAACTATCCTTACTAACACAAAATTCAATATCTATTTTATTGTATAATAAATTTGAGATTTTTTGTATAACAGTTTAAATCAAATTTGTTGTAATTTAATATTTATTTTATTATTTAGGTACATTAATTTATGTAAATCTTTTAGATATTAATATATATATATATATATATATATATATATATGTTGGAAAAGGTACACAAAATAAAAAAAGTAATCTTTTTTTTTCTTTTTCTTCATCTTGACTTGTGTTTACAACCTCTTCAAAAGATATCTATTGTAAGAGAGAAATGTTCTTGTTTTAACTCGTCTTAATAGTAATATGCAGTTCATCTCATAAAGTAGGTATATTGTGTTTATTTTTGGTCAAATTGGTTTTTCAAAGCTTTAACCAAAAAAGGTTGACCTTTTTTTTTACTTGGCATCCTAAAAATATCTGAATATTCCACTATAATGTTTTCTCTATATACAACATCTGGATAACCATATTGCTTTTTATCAATATCTATACTTATATATGAGAAAGGAAAATATACACTTGAGAAATATATTCAGAGCAAGTTATAATCCAAAAATATTTATATTTAAGTTTTGAATACATGTAAAGACAAACAAGAGCATGAAACTTAGATTTAATTAAAACATAAGGTGTTGAACTTGTTTTTCTTTGCATGAATGTGAAAAGACTTGAAGTTTTGAATGTTGAACGATTGAGTCTTTAATGTAAACTTATTTTACTTAATAAACATATAAGATTTGATGATTATATATGGTTATTTTAAGTGTGTATAAAAGATGAATATTTTATATTGTGTATACCTTATGTTTATATGTTATTATAATGTTTTGGACACTTTTTCCTCAGATACATGATTCCTGGATATACTCATGTATATACTAATCCATCAAAATATATATCATTTTATTATCATCAAAACTTAAGAAACCTTGGACATCCAAAAAACCATGGTTTCGTTGTCTTCATAATTGGCTTTAATTGCCATATATATTAGAGCATGAAAGTAGAGATTATGGAGTTCTAGTTGATGACATATCCTCATTTGCATTAGTCAATGTATTTATGCTTCACAATCAATTATAATGCATCCGTGATGCCTTTCAACTTAGTTACCATATGTTTCAGTTTGCTACTTCACTTTAATGAATTTAGTCTATTGAGTTTCTCTTAGTTTGATGGATTTATTATATTTGATATTAAAAATCCTTGATCGTAAAGACACTTTAATAGATTTAGTTTATTGAATTTCTCTTCATTAGTTTAATGGATTCAATATTTCGGTATTAAAAAACTTTGATCTTAAAAGACATTAATTTTAATTTTGATTAGTGTGTCCGTGGATGTTAATCACATTGATTGAAACGTATAAATTATTATCTTCTCTTAAGCTGTTGTGCTTTTTTTTTTTGCAAAATTATGTTTGCACTTTAAATTTTTGTTGGTTATGGTGCAATTTTTTGTGATTCTTAAATTTATCTCATAAAAAAAAATTGTGACATTCTTGTATACATCAACACCACATTTACAAACTGGAAAAACTGGAATAACAAGACCCGAAGTTACAAGCATGATTATCATTTTTTGAGTCCCCGCTTTGGAAACTTGACCAATGAGTCATCAGCAACATAGAGAACATGTTTGAGATGATGGAACCACTTCTTCATTGCCACTTCCATGGTTGGTTTGTTTTTTCCGTCATCAACAATCTTGAACAGTGAGCAAGGTTGTTTCTACTCTGAACTCAGACAGGTTACAGTGAAGGCAGCCTGCGGAAATAACACTGATATCCACAGCTTCTGCGGAAATAAACGAGTTCATTGGATAGTTTGCAGGTAAATGTTAAAAACTGCTTGCAGCTTGAAATGGAAGCTGATCTCTGTCGTCTGAATATGATAATTGTTTGGCACAATAGAATGACTTACGATAATCGCTTGACACAAGAGAAAGCTTAAATCACGTTAAAAACATTCTAATTAAAACAAAAATGTAAAAACATGTAAATGTAACAACATTTTAACCCCAAGTTAAATTCTCAACTGGTGATCAAAGTCCGTGATAAAATTAAAATCCGCGAGGAGACAAAGTAATCCGCGCAAAGCATTCTTTGAATTATGAAGACAGTTTCTTGCTTGGTCAAAACTTTAATTCACAGGAGTGAATTAACATCATTCTGAGAGCATAAAAAATGTTCAAATTCACTCAATTATTAATTAAATTTATTAAAAACTCGTGATGTACATCAATCTCACCTTTAATTTAAAGGTATGTAACTTACAATGGAGTGTATGTCAGAAAGGGTTTTTCTCATTCTCACAAAAGAGGATATGATTGAAAGTGTTTTCCTCGAACTCATCTAATATTAGATGAGTACTTTAGCTGTTAAACAAATTTTCAGTATCACCATTCAAAAAGAATAGCCGCAATATTTAGAAATCAAACATTCCCAATTATATTAGCTGTTAAACAAATTATCAGTATCACCATTCAAAAAGAATAGCCGCAATATTTAGAAGTCAAACATTCCCAATTATATTTAAGCTACTACGTCGCAAAACAGAACAGAAAAGATAGAGCAGTATATAAAATTCAAAACATAATTTTACTGAAAACAGAACAGAAAAGATAGAGCAGTATATAAAATTCAAAACATAATTTTACTGAAAACTCCGGCAACTCAATAACATCAAAACTCAAGTCACAATACGAGTATAATATAGATCCAGAATAATAAAATATGACGTCTGCTAACTACCACAAAAACAGCATTGCTTCACTGAATCCTGAGACACCATGAAAAAACCCTCTAGCGCAATCTTCTTGCTTCTCTCTCAGACTCGAGTAGGGTGAGAATGTCTCCTTCTCTCACGGGTCCCTTCACATTCCTCATGATGTGACGGTTCTGATCATCCAAAAACTTAACTCTAACCTGAGTCACCTGCCCTCTAGACCCTGTACGACCCATGACCTTCACAACAATAGCATGCTTCACCTGGGACTCCATCCTGTTCAAACATAAGCAAATTTTACAAGGTTAAGGAGAGTAAGTTATGCACACAAACCAAAGCTAACATCATGATTCCAACATCTAATAACATCGAATTGAACAAGGAAAGTGCATACCATCTATTAAAAGCTAACACAACATGTTTATGTAACAACCACTCACAACATGTTTATGCACATTTTTTCCTAATTGCCATGATATGGATTACATGAAAGTATATCGAACACAAATATGTTTCAAATTGTTAAGGAGAATGATCAGATAGAGCTAATACATGAGTGCCATCATCCAGGCAATCAAACCAATAGGGAAATACTAATCATCATGTCATTCTCCAACTCTCGACTATCATTGATCCAGGCCCTAAACCAAGGCAGTTATAACACCAGACATGGATTTCCTCCCCCCCCCCCCCCAAACAAAAAAAGGAAGAGCAATAACCAATGGAAACAAGTAAAATTAACAAATACATCTGCAATATGATTAACAGGAAACATAAATTGGTTCCGCTTCCAAATCAAACATCATAAATCCAACAACAAACTGAACTACGGTAGTGAATACCAAAAATCAAAATATTCAGAGCAAATTTGAATAAAACTTCTTAACAACCACTTCTACATGGAGAAAAAAAAAGGTGATTAAACAAAACAAATCCTCCCACGAGTGATTTTATTTTCTCCGTCTTTCCAAACCCAACAACTATCATAGCTTCTGCTGAGGCTATAAAAATCATCAACGTGCATTAAAATCATTTAAATAACAAACATCAATACAAATCAAACTTCTCAGATATAATACTGTTAGAAAAGTTCAACAACAAAAACCCCAAAACACAAATCAAATTCAGCTACACATTTATAAAATGCAAACCACAACCACAGCCATCTAAATCAGAAAAGCATAGAAACCAACGAGAAATCAAAAGGAAAAAGCAATACACATGCCAATAAGAATCGAAAACAACATTAACATTCGATAATTCAGAGGAATAACAAACGAAACGAATGTTATACTTCGATAAAGCATGAAAAAAGAGAATGAGTACCTGAAGTTAGAAAAGCTGAAGAGGAAGCTAGGGTAGCGGCTACTCTCTCTTCAAACTCGCAAAGAACGCAGAAACCAAAAACCCTAGTTGTTGGAATTTATAGACTCGTTGTTTTTCAAATGACAATTTTACCCATGGAAGGGGTACATGATGATTGATGAGCAAAAATGAAAACAATGCAATTGCAAGAGTACCTTATTGTAAATTGCTCTCGTCATTTTTAAAATTATTTTAAGTAATTTTTATCATTAATTTTTGTTGTAATTTTTATTGTTAATTCACTGTTTGTGTGTCAATTCTAATTATTAAATTTTAATTCTTAATATATTATTTAAAGACTTTAATATACTTTAAATTTTTATGAAATAAATGAATTTTGATTTAGTTCTTATAGTAAAACAGCTAATAAATATTTTTGGTCACTTTATTATTAGTAATTTTGTAATTTTTAATTCTCTTATTTTGATATAGGGAGATATTTGGTCTATTTTAAATTTAAAAATGTAATTTTAATATTATTAATAATTTAATATTTATTAATTAGTGACGTTCCATCATTTAAGTTACATGAAACATATTATTTAATTAAAAAAATAATTGATTAGATTAACAAATAACATTATTAAAATAAAAATTTATTTTAATCAATAACATTATATGATAATATTATTAATAAATTTATTTAATAATGTTATTAAAATAAAACTATAAAATAATGTGATTTAATAGCATCATAAGTATAAAATAAAATTTAATAATGTTATTAAAATAAAATATTTAATAATATTATTAAAATAAAAAATAAAATAAATAATCTACTAATTTTATCTTATTAAAAAAAGTTTCTCTTTTTTAAAATAATGTTATTTATTAATCTAACTAATCAAAAATTAATTTAATTAATCAATATTTTCATTTCATAAATCAACATGTAAATTTAATGGTCAAACAAATATCAAGCTAATGATAAATAAAATTACATATTTTTAAAATTATGAGATTAAGTATTTATAGTTTAAAGTAGGGAGACTAAAATTGAAAATCAGTAAAATAATAATAATAATAATAATAATAATAATAATAAAAGATAAAAAATATAATTTAATTTTAAAAAATTATTACTTTTTATCCATTAAGAAAATTTGGGTCCTATTATTATTACATGGAACTTATTGTTCATGTTTTTAGTATAAAGTTATGTGTACACGAGATCTCGTAAAAAAATAATATAAGATTATGTAACAATTTTAAGTGATGTCTAATTTTATATATGATACAATGTTAACTTGAGGTACCTTTTTTATAAATTTTTAAAATAAATTTTATTTATATATTTTAAAATTAATGCTAGGAATTAAAAATAGTAATTTTAGATTTTGTAAAAGATGAAAATTGAAAAAAAAAATATTTTATAATAATAAAAACTATAATTTGCTTATTTCATAAAATCAAAAATAATATATTTCAAATTTTAGAAAGATGAAAATTTGTATTTTTAATTCACACTTGAAGAGAGACAAAACTTAAGATTCTTCCAATTTTTGCCTAAGATTTCATTGTTGTGATTTAGGTGGTGGGAACCTTGAATCAAATAGTTGATTTCGTGCGAAGCTTTGATTTTCTTTTCTTCTTCCTCGGACTCGTGCTACCCGAGGTAAAGGAAACTAGATTTTTTCTTTTGTAGGAGTTGTTGAAGGTTGCGTTAGTTGTATCTTGCATGCATTCATTTCAAATTTGTGATTGAATATGGATCAAATTAGAGTATTGGGTGTTTAAAGTTGAGGTTTTAGGGGTTTTGAGAAAAATGTGATGATTTGAGTTGAGTTTTGGTTCTATGCTGATTTTAAGTGCCTTTATGAGTTTGTTGTGAGGTATATAATAGTTTTTTGGTGTTGCATGTGTGGGATTTCTGTTGGATTTCAGGTTATGGCTCAAAATTAGGGTCTACATATGTAGAATTATGATATTGCATTGGGCACGCCTTCAAGGTGTCGACACTATTCTAACTTGAGGCTCTTTATCTTAATCACGTCAGGTGTATGATTGGTGGCATTGGACGTGAGAAGAGAGACTCATCTTAGATTGGAATGACATTAGGCGTGGTTGAATGGCACCAAACACGGATGTCTTGGGAGCTATCTAACTTGGTGACATTGGGCCTAATGTTGTGTGGCACCTAGCGTGGCTAAGTTAGAGCTTTTTGTCTGGTTTTCATTGGGTGTCGTGGTGATGACGCTAGGCGAGACTTAAGTAGAGACTCTCTACTTGAGATGGGACTAGGCATGAGGTCCCAGGGACCTCTACATTAGCGATGCTTGGTGCGAGTTGTGTAGCGTTGGGCATGGATGAGGCAAAGAACCCCCTACATGGATGATGCCAGGCCCAAGGTGAGTAGCGCCAGATGTTAGTTGTTAAAGTAAAACATGATGATTTGATTAATAAAGTGTTTGATTTCTTGTTGGTTTAAGTTGTTATATGATGAGTTAGTTGTAAGTTGTATGTTGAGTTTTGACCATGTTGTGTGTTGGCCAAGTTGTGTGTTGCCCAAGTTGTGTGTTCATTGTGTATTTATGTTGAAAATATGATGCATTGTTAAGATGCCTGTTGATTATAGTGTTGTAAATGAGTTGTGATAATGAAGATGTGAGTTGAAAGGTTGTGTGTTGGTCATGTTGTTGTGTTGAAAATATAATGAGTTGTTGTGTTGTTGAGCTGTATTAATCACTTAGAAATAGAGAAAATATTTTCAAAAGTTGTATATCTCATTGTGTGGATATTGTATTGTGGTGCTTTGAGAGTCTAATTTGTTAAAAACTCTACTTGGGAAGTTGACCCTTGAAATGAATGTTGTATTGTTTCTCCTTTAGAACTTTGTTGGTACCATGTGTGGGCAAAGTCGAGACATACGTGTATGAAGCAACCATAGTATAAGGGTCAGGTCAAGCTATACTAATTACAAGTAACCAATTGAGTAAAGTACGAATTCGGAAACTTAGCTCCTAACTGAGTATTAGAAAGTTGTAGTATTTGAAGAGTAGTTAGTGGGCTAATCCCATAAAAGGGTTGGTTGAGCTGGCTAATGTCGTGGTAGGCCCGTACAAAACTATTTTATCCTAACATTAGTATTTTACTTCCTTGTTTAAGTGGTGACATTTGAGAAATTGAGTTATTATGTTGTGAATTTTTATCCAAATTTTTGTTAACCTAGAAAACCCAAAAAGATCACCTTGTGTTGTCGGTTTAGAAGGGACAAGCCACTTAAATTTTTCATCTTGTGTTGTAGGAGATCTCCTAGTTGAAGTGCATGACAACACATATGAGTTGTTGTGTTAAGTATATGATGCGTTGAATTGGTTGTGCTGCCCATATGCTGTCGAGTTAATATGATCTATGGTGTTGTGTTGATCTAGAGTTGCATTGTGCTAATTTGTGTTGTATAACGTGTTGCTTTGTTGTTGTGTTGTTCAAGATGAAATGATGATGTGATGTTTTTGTGATGTATTTATGCTTTTTCACTCTAGTTTATCCTTGTATGTTTTCATGTGGTGTGGATTGTGATGATCATACGTGGTATGGGAGTAAGGTAGGGATAGGATTAGAGAGTTGCTATAGGGGACACCTTGTGGTATAGGAGCTGAAGGACATTTTGTTAATTGTCCTATGGCAGTAGTTTTGTATAGACACAGTAGTTGTTTGATCGACAACTTAGGATGTATAGGTTATAATATTGGATAACTGTATTTATATTGTACCTAAATAATTAGTTGGTTTTCCTTATTTACTTGCAATATAATACAAGTTTTGGTATTTGTATATCTATAGTCTTAAGTTAGATATTTTTTGCTACTAGTAGTTGTGACGTACAGTGTAGGCACCAAGTTGGGTCGTTACAAAAATAACTTCTCAATCAATAGGCAACTTACTCATGGAAGAGTTTTCAACTTTGTGCT